TGACCATAACTGTCCCCCTATTCAGCTTATATCATCATTTTGTCAAAGTGCCTACTCGTGGTTGAAAGAAGACATTTTAAATGTGGTCGTTGTTCACTGTAAAGCTGGTATGGCGAGAACAGGATTAATGATTTGTAGCCTTCTTTTATTCCTTAAGGTGAGGTTTTGTCATCAATCCTTTAAGCTCAATGATTTTTGAGGTGAATTCTACTTCTTTTGGTTTTTTAAGCTGTTTTCATGATTGGATTATTACTATCTTTGCGCCTTGTGTGCAGTTCTTCCCAACAGCTGAGGAGGCCATTGATTATTACAACCAGAAAAGATGCACAGATGGGAAAGCTCTAGTTCTCCCAAGTCAGATTGTCAGTTACTATTAATAAAATTATTTTACCTTCAACGTTACTCGTTTTACATTATTTTGAAATTTCTTTTTCTTTTTTGCTTTCCTTAGAGGTATGTCAAATACTTTGAACGGATCTTAACATATTTTAATGGAGAAATTCAGCCTGGGCGTAGGTACACCACTGATCTGGCTCTCAAAATACTTCATCTTGACCATCAAGAAGTTACTGAAATTATGATTGTATGACAGGTGCATGCTTAGAGGATTTCGGCTTCACCAATGCCCTTATTGGATTAGACCCTCTATTACAATCTCTAATCATAGTGGTATGCTATTTCTCCTGCTCAGCATGATAATTATTTTGACAATATTGTGATATTATGAACTGTCACCTACCCCTTTTGGGGTCAGAGTACTGTGATAGAGCTCCCTGTTTTATTTTGTATTTAGCTTAACAAAATTACACTTGTTCCTCTACTGTATTTTGGATCTAGCACCAAATGCTTGTTGGGAGAGCAAAAGTTTATTTGGAAATTCTGATCATACCAATAAAAATAGCTAAATTTGCAAATTGTTGACCTGAGTTTCCCTCAGTAAAAAAATCTCTCATTCTTTGATTAGCTGAAGTTTAGACAGGAAATTAGAGTGTGCTTTAATACATGCATGAAGACTATTGCATTATGTCTTTCATTGTTTCATGTTGTATTTCATAATGTGATATGGAACTATATTTACATCGACACTTTCCTTTGTCTACAGGAATTCTGTTCTCGACAAGAACGCATCCGAAAACTAAGGATTTAATGGTAAATTTTTTCAAATTAGCTGTTTACAGTTTACATTGCCAGTTAAGTTTTTGTTGCCAGTGCATAATTTTGATATGTGATTTTTGCCTAATGACTTTGTTTTTGCAGCCAGAAGATTTCTGGATTAAAGCACCAAAGAAAGGGATTTTGGTCTTTGCTTTGCCAGGGGAGCCTGGTCTGACAGAATTGGTAGGGGATTTTAAAATTCAGTTTCATGATCGACAGGGAGACTTCTACTGGTTTGTAAATTTTCTCCTTTTTTTGCATTGCTGTTTAATTAATTAACTTATGAATGAAAACTTATTAGAAGTTATACTGAAAGAACATAAGACAATTCTTTATTCTTTTTATGGATCAGTATACCGATCCTTCATTTTAGCTTGAATTTGTTTTATGTACAAGCAATTGTATTTTTTTACTAGTAATCCGCATTCTGCTTATCAGTGTTATAGCATGTATTTTTTTTCTCTCTCTTTAATTTGCATGTGTACTATTTCTCAAGGAAAGTTTCCCCTTCTTTTTCATTTGCTTGTAGTTGGTTAAATACGACAATGACTGAGAACAGGAAAATATTGGATGCTTCTGAACTTGATGGTTTTGACAAGGTAAATGACAATATTTTGTCTAAGACTTAAAATACTAAATGGTGTAGTTCTTATACCTTTTCCATTATTTGGATTCTTTGGCTGCTGTTTCCAGAGAAACTTGCCTTCTCCTGGATTCCAAGTTGAGGTCGTGATGATAGACTATGATGGTACTTTACCTACAAGATCCAAACCTGATTCTTCCAGCAAGAGATCTGATGGTAGCTCAAATTATGTTTCGGGTCCAACTGGCGGGGTTGCAACTAATTCCAATCAACGTGAAGTGACTGGAAATGAAGACAATGATAATGTATTCTCAGACAGTGATGGAGAAGAGACTGGAGCTTCAAAGAACCGAAAAGCTGGTGTTGGTTCTGGAGGGGAATCTGCAGCCCATGGAGTAGGATCTAAGAGCCAGGCAGGGAGTGTGTCAGAGGGGACTGGACAATTGTCTCAGAAAAGTAAGAAACCAAGTAAAGAACCAAATATTGATGGGATTAAACAACCTGCACCTGGCCAGATTCCATATATAGCTTCCGCAGGGGCAAGTGATATCAGGGCAATTGCTGCTGATGCTTCAGTTTTCAGCTTTGGGGATAATGAAGATTATGAAAGTGAGTGAAGTCTATAATTGTATGAAAAACACTTGTACATAAGCTCCTCGTGAACAAAATGATTTGATTGTTGAGGAATTTGTTCATTAAATTTATCATTTTCATTTTTAATGTTGTTCATACAACAAAGCACAGTTTCCACATGGCTCTCTTCTCCGAAGTGTTGAAACTTGAAAGGTGTTATGGCCACTGAAATTCAAGCTCATGTATTTTCATAAGTTTTGTTTTGCCAATAAATGAAGGAACAGGGTTCACGGCAGCCAATATCGATGTGGTGACCAACCAATTAACTTCAATTAGAAATAGGTCACAAAATACTTTTGATGGATCCATTTTCTTTTATGTTCGCAGTTGCTCACACAAGAACCACTTTTGTTACTATACTGAAACGAGTACTGAAACACCATTAACGGAGAGAGTTAAGAAATAAAACAATGAAATTGTAAATAAGCATATGAACCAGAACAAGTCCAAAACTGCTTGGCAGAAGAATAATCAATCCAAACCATGAAAACTCAACTCAAACCAATGTAGCTCCACATTTTCTGCACCCCATAATATTCCCTCATTTCTTCTACATCTGAATTACAATACCATGGAATGTTTTTCCCTTTGCTAGTTAAAAACTAATGACAATCACTCAAAGCAATGAGAAATATCATAAATTTATCTTTCTATTGGCCACATCACATTCACCGGCTGCTCCTCAAAGTTCCAAATTCGACCCAAAATTTCTTATCACACGTAATATGCAGCAAATTAGCGGTGGCATCTGGCCTAGACTGACATAGCTTAAAATTCTACGGCAGCATATTCACCTTCTTTTATTCTTTTTGTCATTTTTCATTTCTACTTTCTTTTTAAGGATAGATATCATCTTATCCTGCGTTGAAATTTGAAAATCCTTTTCTCTCAGTTCTTGCTTCAAACTTTCTATCTCTTTCAAGTGATCATCACACTGATTTGAGTCTACCATTTTCCTCAATCTTTCAATCTCCTTCAAGTGCTCTTTACACTTGCACTCATTTGATGCCGCTACTATCTCTTTGTTTGTCTGCTCAATCTTCTGTTTTTTTGATACACCTGAGTTCTCCTCTCCTTCGAGAGCTCTCTTAACCAAAAACTGGCCAAGAGGAACATCACGTGCCATTTTACGAACATATAGGCTGGCAGTCACACCTTTGCTGGTTTGGAATTTGACAAGTTTCTGCCCCCTCCCAGACGAATCCTAACAGAAACAGGGACAAGATTTAATTTAGCACAGCCAAATAACTAGCGAGAATAGGCCTAGCTTTCTCACCCTTACATACAAACACAAACAACAGGCATCTAAGTTCACAAAACGAGGTGAAAATGCTACTGGAGTGGATAAATAGAATATTATTTTATCCCTCACCAGTGAACTCTTTATGTTGTTGGACAAGAATACACAGATTTCTTCATACAAGAAATTCCCGAAAAAGTGAACCAACTACAAAATACAGAGCATTTCTACAGGAAATACTTCAAATTTGACATACCTTTTCTTGGCTGCCTTCCACATTCTCAAATGCTTGACATGCCTCTTGTGGGCTGCTAAAAATAGCAACAGCAGAATACTTGTCTCCTTGACCTCTTTTTGATGTCTGACAGAAAGTTAGTCACCACATTAGAAACTTAACATGGATACAAATTCATAGTCAGTAAACTAATGCATGAAGAAGCAGGCCAATTCATAGTATGAACAAATCTAAAAATTTAAAATCCCTGTTGGTAGTTTTCAAACTGACCCAACACAAGTAAATCTCAATCAGCTGCTAGGATTGGGTCAATTTACTCTCACGCAAGAACAACACCAAAAGATTATGACTGACATTTAATTGTTACTGAAGTTCTTAATTCTGGGTTGTTCAAGAAAAAAATTATTTCCCCTTCAAGCGCATGAATGAAAAGACATCATGATTTGAGCCATCTGACTGAAATTAAAATAAATCAAGAAAATAAAAACCACCTCTTATTGCTTGTTGAAGATAAATGCTATCACATTTTAATACTAAGAAGAGTAATGCTACACATACAAAGTTGGGATCCAAACTTTGTATCCCAACTCATGTGACAATTCAGTTGGTAAATTAGTTCACTTATCTCATCATCCTATAATTAAAGAGATGTTGACAAATCAATTGTCACATGGGTTGAGATACAAAGTTGGGCCCAACTTTGTATTTGTAGCATTATTATACTTAAAAACTGATATGCTTATATCCACTCAGACCAAAATTGATTGAATATAAAATATTTCATTAACTCATCTGTATCTCCCCCTATATCTATATGATGGAATGGGGTTGCTTGAATAACAAGGACCATTGAATGCATATAAAACTGAGTGAATAAAGGACTATTAATAAGAAAGAAAATTTTAGCAAGTCAAGAATTATCAGGCATACAATGTACAAAAGTGGCACATCTAATTTTTTCCTCTGAAGTGCATTTTTAAGCTCTGGATGACTAGCATGAAGACTGTCCATTCCTTAATTGCTGTAAGTGATGATGGTGCACTGACTCAAATTGATTAGCAAGATTATAAAATACAATACTCAACCTTGACTTCGATTGTGAAGTCCCCAGGAATCACTCTGTGTAATTCTTCACAAGGCACATTGACTGGTATCCTGTGGAGAAGTAGCTTTGCCTTGTCTATTTCTGCCACCTGCAGTTTTAAAAATACAAAATATGATAATATGAAATCAGAATTAAAATTGAGCAGGATCCACCAGACGAAACTTACATCTTCTTGAACAATGGTCATAGCATTATCAACTCCACGCTCTATTACAGCAAGAACTAGTTTCATTGCAGCACATGCATCATCTAAACAATCATGTGGAGCACCATTTTTCCGAATTTCATAGCCCAGCACAGACTGTCAAAAAGAGAAATTTTAGATGCACATATAAAACCGCCAGTAGCTGCTTGCCTTTCATCACTGCACTAAACATAAATTTGACCACAGAAAAGCCTCAAATGAGCTCAAAAAACAAGAAAATGGAAGGGATTCTTCACAAGTCTTTGCTGTGATAATCTGGACAGCTCAGAGTAAATTCTTTATATAACAGGTTCTAAACAAAAGGGAAAGTTCTAGGGTCCTCCCTCACTATATTTATACATGCCAGTGCACATAGAATCAATGAACTTGCCTTGCACAGATTATTCAAAGAAGGTCTTCTATTTCCATCCGCGTATTTGAAGATTAAGGAGGTATCAATGACTCTTGGATGATCTACTTTTAGCGCTGTATAAAAAATAAAATAAAAAAGGATAATGCAATAGCAAAGAAATAAGGAGGTGTAACTACATTGCATCATGGTCCCATCTGAAATCTACAATTGTTTCAATGTTACACAAAAGAAGCTCAAATATAAGCAATGGTGCTTAACTTACCATGTAGGTCATTATTCAAACTGTGGCCCACTAAAATGATCCCATGTGATAGTAGCTTCTTCATTCTTTTCTGAAAAATGCAGTACATAATGTCAAACAAAAAATGCAGAGAATGACCCTAAAAACCAGAAAAAAACACAGCATTTTACCTGTATTTCTGCCAATGAACAGGTAACACCAACCAGATCTTCAGCAGTAACTCCAGTAATCTCAGATCTATAATCAGCAACTGCTTTATTAGGGTTCACAAGTTCATCCAACTTCACCTGAAAAAGCAACCCCAAAATCTCATCATACATGGGTGCGAAGGGAACATCTGATGTTACGTATATGAAATTCATCAATCAATAACAGCCCAAACTTAAAGGCTGAACTATTAAGAACTCTTATTGGTCCATAACTAACAAAACAACAAGGTTGAAGAAATAAATTTCTTTTCCTTTCTGGGTTATTGGAGCATATGCTATTGCAAGAGTTGAAAGCCATATAATACCTCTAAATTGCGATCAACAACACACACCCGCACCAAAGCCTCACTGCCATCTTCACAGAGAACCATCTCACAATCAACAGCATACATTGTGTTAGATGTCATCGCTTTGGATTTGTCACCAAGTTTGGTAACGACCCACTCCTGGTACGCAAACCAGAAGTTAAAAGTTAAGTTAGCCACATTGAACGTAAGTTATCAAAGCCAATTGAAAAAGCACGAGTAACAGAAAGCCTAGATGTTTAGCTAGTAATTCATATTCAGAAGCACATATGAGAACAGCCATATAACTCATCTTTGCTCCTTGAGCTATTTAAACAGCACCATTTATCTATAGTAATAGCTAGATTTATAAAGATGTCGGAAGTACATTTATTTACCAATTGAGAAATAATGTCTAAACAAAAATTGACCAAAATCAACACGATTAATTAACTGTGCCCATCTTAAGCTAAAATTTAAACAGCAATTACAAATACATGTAGTCTACGAATTATTTACAAAAAAATTGACATATATGATTAAGAAAAATTCACTTTAGTGTTCCATTACATGTTTAGTTATTATCAAACCATTATGAACACGAGTAAATAAATTAATCATATAATTTTCCTATCAATTAAACGTGTCAACAAAAAATTTAGTAATGAGTTACACAGATTGCGATGTGTTACATGTTTAGTAAATAAATGGTGTTTGTGTTGATGTTTTAACAGTATTAATTAAATCTGTTGTGTTCCAATCGGTACATATATTAAAATTTCCCTGTATCAACATGCCAACATGGATTTCCTACCCCATTTAAAGCAATGTAAGCAATCCAAATAAAGTTAACAATATAATGATCAATTGTAATTAACATGGGCAAAGATTGAGAAGCCAAACCTCATTGCACGATGGGAACATATAATCCAATGCATACTGAGGGTGTTGAAGAGTTAAACGGACCAGCCTCTGCACTGCCACCATGACAAATTAACAGATATTACAACAGAATCTTCTAAAAATTAAAGTGTAAAGTTTAGCATACATGCATTAGAATCAATAAGAACACAACAAAAGAATTGAGTAATAACACTACAATGACTAATAAGAAAGGCATGTACCGTTATGAAGTTGGCAGTAGTTTTCAAGTTATATAGTCATATGAATGTGACATAGGGAACTAGCTATAAGAAAACATGAAAGCCTAAAACAAAGGCAGAAAGTAACAACCGAGGTTTTCAATATCACTAAACTACACTTACAGCAAACATGTAAGTTTGGAACATAAAGCTACAGGCATTTAGTACATATTAAAACAGAAACTCTACAGAAAACACATTTCATTTTTATTATTTTAGGAACAAAATGGAACAAAGGCCAAATAGCTTTGCCAACATGCCTATCAAAACAAGGCACAGGAGGATTGAAACACAAGCAATCAAGCCACGATTTAACTTATATCATACCAATAATGGATAAGAAAAAGCAGTCAATGAGAATATGAACTGCAACACATCGCTTTATTGCAATTGTAGGACCAACCCATCAATAAATGAAAATGAAGTAGACCATACCTGCTCAGGGGATTCATCATCAGGAGATTTCTTTTCATATAGCTCCAATATATAACGATTCTGATGACGTTGCAGTACTTTTGCAATAAACTGAGAATGACAAGGAATCATATATGCTCAACATCTTGACAGGATGCTTTATCAAGGAGTAATTGAAAGTCATTTTAAAAGAATCAACACTAAAAAGAAAATTTTAGATTATTTTTTACCTTTAAATCATCCTCCTTTGTAAATGTCTTTAGAAAAGATACCAAAACGTCATTGGACCTCTTAGCCGGATCACTTAAACTAGAGCCGAACTTTTTGTCATAACTATTCAAAAAGTCCTTCCAACCACCAGCAGTACCCTGCATTCCTTGCTTTTGGACCATCTTAACAATTCCAACAAGAACCTAGAAACATCTTAAATGTTAATATGAGGTACCCAATAAATAAACAAACAATGAAACACCCAAAGCTTGTAGTCAAAACATATGGTTGCACCTCATTGGAATAACAGCTTAAAAGCAACAAAAAAAAAACAACAGCAGCGTGCCCCTGACTGATCAATTGACTATAGCTGAATCATTATCAATATGACATAGTGACAGAAGTTCAAACACGGACACAAGGATTAAATTTTAGTAAATGCTGCGTTTTTATGCAGTCAATTCGAGTGTGATTGAAATTTGATGGAACAATAGTTTGTCATTCTCAGAAAAAATAAGGGACTCTGCATCTTGAAACTCCAGTTTAAAAGCTAAAATTCCATGCCACCAAATACAAAGTAAACGTTTTTATAATTAAAACTAACAAGCCACTAAAGTAACAGTCCGAACGTTAAAATTAGAAGTATAAAATCATATATTGCAAAAAAACTATTGTTAATCATAAACAAAATCAAGGCAAAAATTCCTAAAATTATAGCCGCAAGATAGGCGCTTACCTTTTTCTCTAAAATTTCGAGTTTCTGGTCCATTTTGGGTATTCGGGTTACAGATTTGCGGCTACTTGCTAGTGAAAAAACCGGGAAGAAGATGTTTAAGGGTTTAGGGTTTACAACTCTGTAATACTCAGCGGGGCAATTTTGGTATTTAACATTAATATGGTATAAAAGTCGGGATTTTTTTTTTCTTTTGGGTAATTAAAAAAGAAAAAGACAGTCGGGAATTTTGTTTTCTTAAAGGAATTAAATTTTAGTAACTTTATTAATTATATGAAAACTGTTTTTATTTTCTCGTATAAAGTTTGATCTAATTTATGCTGTTATTTATGTGTCATTTATTTATATAGTGTAAAGACATCTATTGCAATATTTATTTAATTATAAGATATATATTGTTAATTGTGTTACCATTTCCCAAAATCAATGATTTAATCACATGATACGTTAATCCTAACTTCATAAGATAAATCTTTTTTCTTAATTCTTTTAGGTTTCTCTACCTTTACCTTTCCAGATTTCAAATATTCTAAAAAATAAGCAAAATAAGATCATCTCTAACCACAAACATTAAATTGGTGTAAGTTTCACATTAAATTAGCGTGATTTTTAGTGTATTGCACTTTCAATTTATTGCACCAAGAATATTTCTTAGAACATTCTTTTTTTTTTTTTATATAATAATCAATAATTAATCTATTTCACTCATTATTTTAGTTTATATTATATTTTCTTTTAATTTTAGTATTTTTATTTTTAGTTATTATAGTTTAATATTTGTATTGAATAAAGTTTCGTTTTTAATTTTTTTATCACTTTTTAAATTATATAATTATTATAAATAATAATTAAATTAACATAAATATAAATAACAAAAATAAAAAAATATAGTTTTATATTATTTAAAGTTTAAATATTTAAACAGTATTTGAATCGTATGGCGTAATACTGTTCACTTACAATTTTGGTAGGAAAAATGATAGAGTTATCGAAAAATTTACACTAAATTTGTGCACCGGATAACGTAATAAAATCCTGACCGTTAATTAATATTAACTAATAAAAATAAACGATCAAGATTTAGTCACGTCATTTAGTACACATCCATCGATAACTGTAACATTAGTCTTTTGTAGATGCCCTAAGCGATTGGCTGAGGTGATTTGAAAGATATATCCCAGAAACGGATCCTATGCCCAGATCAAACAAGGCAACATCCGCGGATCCTCTTTGCAAACAACTGAAACTGACAAGAAAACAAATGGCCGACTTAAGGCAACATCAGAATAACAAAATTAAAGCGACAGGGTTTCATTACATCATTAACAATTAGGAGCAACATATAGAATTGCTGTGATTGGTTCTAAGTTTCCTTTGTCCAAGCATCAAATTCAAACAAACGTGAATTCTGAAAAGTAAAAGGGTGCAGAACGGGCTCATTTTAAACCACACAATTTTTTTCTGAGAGTCACCGCTAAGGGAGCTGGTAAAAACTGCTGACTTCCGCATAGGATTCCACATCCATTTGGTCCAGTGACGATCAACTTTCAGTGTCGACTGTGGAGTTTTGATCCTCGTGAACTTTGAGTTTCTTAGTCTACACAAAAAATGAGAACTTCCATCTTCCAGTATTGACTCACTCAATGCAATAAAAGTCGCAAGTCCCAACCCAAAATATCAGTCTCCAATAAATATCTGTGCGCCATAGCTTTCCTATCCTTCATTGAGATAAATTTTCAAAGTGTTGAAAAAGATACGACTTCAATACAGCAAGACTACGCTGCTTCCCCGGTGACAAAACTACAATTCTTAAAATTACATGAAAAACAACTCCAAATTGATGATATACACCTGCGGGTGCACGACATCACTGTGGATGAAACTAGAAGACTTTTCATTGGATATAGAATGAAATGAAAGAATTAAGGATGCCTGCCAAAGAGACTAATCCAAACCATAATGATACTACTTGAAAACACATCTTTGTTACTCGACTAACCATCAATCCAAAAGGAGAAGCAAATAATGCCGAACAAAGCCGATTGGAAAAACAATTAGTAATATTTCTCATCCTCCAAACTACCAACAAAAAAAGAATAACAACATTTGAGCACTCTAACATCCAAAATCTTTTAATAAAATGCATGAAGCCATTAGAAACATAACATGTTTTATATTTGTTACAACTTTTATTCGGACGTGGAGTCGAGATACTTGTTTTCACTTCAAAATAAGCTTAAACCATAACACACAACTCTAGCGTAAATGAGAATCGATGCCCAGACCTTTTATACACTTACAAGAGATTTTAGCAATATTACATAATCCAAAGTCTTACATACGCGGACAACAGGTTGTAGCTTTGCATAATTGCATTAGTTGCACAGACCACACATTGCTAATGCAATAGGCCACAAATCATTCTCGAAACAAAAGTCTACACATCATAATTTTAAATGTGTCTTGCTAAACCCACAATTGAATAAGATAAAAGATGCAGGGGAAGAAAGAGAGAATATCAAAACAACAAATTGGAGGAGTAAATCTTCATAGCTGGTTTTCGGAACATAATGTCAAGCAGCAATAAGAAAAATCTTTCACAATCAATTTCTGCCATCTTTGCATTTAACGAATTACAAGTTTTCAAAAAAATAATAATGAAGCACAGAAGCCAAAAGAGGCTTCAAACACAAAAGCATTTCAACCTATCAAAGTACAAGAATAATGTCTCTAATGCAAGATTGATTTTTCCAAATCTTTCACAGATCATTCATAAGTTGTCATTAGAACCGCTGCTTTCACCATTAGTCCATCTTCTAAATTTTCCAGCCACCAAATTCCTACCGGCAACAAGTCCCATCTTTACCTTTAAATATGACAATCTACCAACAATATTTGATGAGGCATCGGGAACATTTACTTGCCCTCCCATCATTGGAACCTCCAAACCACCTTCTTGCAGTCCACCATCACTACCACTAGCATCCAAGCCATCAATCTCTTCAGCATCCAAATTAACAATTAAAGATCCTCTACGTACTCTCAACCACTCCGCCACATCACTACTCACTCCTCTACATTTCTTGACCTTAATTTTAACTAGATTAGGGCACCCCCAAGCAAGTGCTTCGATCCCAAGATCTGATATAGCACACCCTTTAATGCAAAGCTTCTTCAACGCCACACATTTTGCGGAAATACATGCAATCTCTGCATCACCAATCGCTCCACTCCCACAAAGTGCTAACCTCTCCAATTTTGAACAATTACAGGCAATGGCTGTCAAGCTTAAGTGGGTTGCATTAACACCAATTAAAACAAGTTCTTGTAAATTAGGACAGTGTTTGGCCACAGCAATTAAAGCCTCATCACCAATCTTATTACTCCTCCACCCATCAATGTGAAGCTTCCTTAACAAACTGCATTTCTGAGCTACAGAAACAAGCCCTTTATTCGTACACTCGGGAGCTTTGACAATATGTAAATTTTCAATACTTGAACAGTTTGATATCGCAGTTAATCCACGATCAGTTACTTGAAGCCTTTCAAGATGAATTTCGTTCAAAGAAGTGTTTTTTGAATCTCCAATAATATCTAATACATTGTCCCAATCACCTAAACAACGAATAATTTTCAAAGTTTTGAGATTTTTAGCTCCGATTACTAAAGGTTCAAAACACTGACCGTTGACCAGCTCCTTCAAGCAAATTGACTTCAAAGATGAAGCCGCGGAGGCGCCTGGACCGATCAGCTGGATTCCATCACGAATTCCTCTAAGCCGCTTGATGGAGAGCTCCTCCAGAAGCGTGCAGTGATCAAGAACCGAGTTGATACCTTTGGCTCCGAAAGTGCATGAGCCACAAGAAAGTTTCTTCAGAGTTTTGCAGTTCTGAGCAAATGTAGTAATACCGTGGTCCGTGATCTCGCGGCAACCACGAAGCTTGAGGCGCGTGAGATTTTGACAACGGATAGAGATCAAAACGAAAGCGTCGTCGTTAATGCTGATGGACTTCCGATCGCACCGCAGAGCCAGTTTCGTCACGGAATCAAAGCGCGTGAAAATCGACTGCAGAGAAGACAATATCTCGCTATGCGCATTGAGAGAAAGCCGATAACGACTGACACCGTCCACGCGCAGCCACCTCTTGCACACAAGGGAACATTGTTTCCGATCCCCAGCCCCGAGAAATTGAAAAATATAAGCCAAACAATCGTCAGGCAAATCACCGGTATAATCCCGAGTAAGCACGATATCCTCAGCAAACTCAACAATCTCGTTAGAAAAACGCGGCGGACTAAGAAAAACCCGATCGGTCGGGTCTAAAGCGGTGGAAGATGATTGGCCCATCGGTGTGTGAAATACACGCACAGAGAAAAGGAGTTTTGTGTAGTTGTTATTTGTTTTTCTTTTGCTCCTCTTTGTTTTAAGTAATTCGATGATACTATTTCTTTTTTCTTTTGGGGTGGGGTGGGGAGAAAGAGAGCGTTATAAGAAGGAATTAGGCAAGAAGGTGGCTACTTCTGTTTATGTGTTTGTTGTTAGTTCATGAATTTTTGGCCCGTCAAATGGGGTGCGTGTCATCGTTGTAATCGCCACAAAACCCCCTCTTTTTTTTTTTTTTTTTTTTTTTTTTTTTTAATACACGGATTACCTGATTGAAGGGTTCGCTTCAACATCACATGCTCACAGCCGTGTCCTACAATTGCACTTAAAGTGGGAGCTTATGTGGTGTGTACAACTAGCGATACGTGGCACTGTAGAATTTCGTGAATTCCTAGATGGTCTTAAATTCCGGCGTCTAATTTTTGAGATTCAAATGGAAATAAATAGACAAAGACAATCTTTTGGCAATTAAATTAGGCTAAAAGGCTAACTTTCCCTTTATTTGCTAATTTAATAGTTTTTCAAATTATACAATTTTTTATTATTTCATATTTATGTTTCATTTAGTTAATTATTTTTTGTTTATTGTTATATGTTATGTTGTAGTTAATATTAACAACGATGAAATATAGAAATCAAAACAATTCATTTTGTTTTAAGTAAATACAAAAATTAAAAATATAAGAATAAATTTTTGATATTATTTTGTAGAGTTTATCAATACGAAGAATGTATATAAATTTGGTATGATTATTTTTTAATTATTTATTGTCTTGGTTATTTGAGACATGATAAAGTTTTGGATTTAATCACCCAATTATTATAGTCATATGTAGTAAGTTATATTTATATAGTAAAATCTCTCGACAGTAATAATGTTGATACCAACTAAATATGATACTATGAGAAAGTTATAACTTAATAAAGGTGTGGTTATAAAAATTATTGTTTTAATTTATTATTTTATAATTCATGTTTTAATAGTATTAAGATTTTAATTCACTATTTTACTCGAGTTCTTTTTACTTTTCATGATGTTGAAATATTACTTGATTTCTTATTTTATAGTTTATGTTTTAGTAGTATTATGATTTCAATTCATTGTTTTAATAACATTAAGATAGTATGTAAATTGATATCAAAGAGTCATTACAGAATTGAATGATCAGATTCGATAACTTCACTATACTACTCGAATGGATATTAATGTCTTCCTTAATCATCCAAATGAGTAACGAGTTGTGTATGCTCTAATTGGAAAATAAATCATTGTTGAAATTAGACAAGAAGAGGAAGGAGATAATCATGAGGATGATAGAATAGAAATACCAAAAGTTTCGTGCAAAAAAAAAACTCTAAACATGTTTAAGAAACTAAACAATTTTTGGCTTTAAGTCTTTAACAAGAAGATGTCTATGTTGGCGATTATTATATACCCGCAAAATAAAAGATATGGTAACAACTCTAAATCATAAATCATTATCTCAAACAACTTTAAATAAATAATTTATTTCATCTTGAACCTTTAATGTAACATAACATATTTTTTTGCAACATACATATAATTATTACTATGTTGAGGCAAGTTTCTTAAGACGGAACCTAGAAAAATTATAACTTATTACAATGTGAAATTTATTTTTATCTATAATTGGTATAAGTTGAGACCATAATTGTTTATGACCATATGAAAGTTTTTCATATATATAAATTAAATACATAACTGAAACTAAAAAATAAAAGTCGGAATATAATAGCATAGTGTTTTTAGTTAGCAATAAATATAAGCTTATATTATACATATAAAGAACAAATGGAATGGTCTAGTTTTATTAAAAAGTCTAATATAATTTCCCTAAGAATGTAAAATATTATCTAATTTCCAACAAAGTTAGCATGCATTGAGTTGATTTAAACAATTAATATACTAAATTTATATAGTATGTACTTGGAGTTATTAAATAAATCAAGTTATGCATTTTATTTTTCAAATCTTTTTATTTTATTAAGTGGGTCTAAGTAAAAGCCCTAATCCCTAATGCACAACCCAAATTTGTATAAAATTGAAAAATAAAATAAAAAGAAAAAGAGAAAAGAGAAAAGATTTGGGACTGATAGAACTAAAATAGTAGTCAAACAAGTTAAAACAAATTGTCAAATTGTGAGGATGAAAAGAAGAAATTTCTACGACCGTCCAATGCTCCGACCTAGAAATTTATTCCAATTTGCATAAAAGTTAAACCTCCCAAACTCGTATAAATTATAATATAAACCTCTTAAATTATAATCATAATGAAATGTATATGGACTATGAACATAATAAGTTTTATTTACGCCAAGGTAAAGTAATGGAAATTTCTATGTAATTTAATCAAATGACACAACAATAGTCTAAATCGGTTCAGTAATTCTTCATGATAAATTATAACACGGATGACCATTCATTTTAAATAATAAAGTATGATAATACTACATTTTGAATATTTGTCCGATAATTAATGGATTAAACTTTGTAATATAAATATGTGATACAGGTCATTGAATTAATGTGATGTAATAAATATGAGAAATAAGTGGGATGAAATCATGTCACAAATTTGTAATGAATAGTAGACTTATAATTAAATATGTTAATTGACTTAACATGATAATTTAGTTGAATTATTAGATTTGGTTGGATATGTGTTATTGTGTCGAGTATATCCTGGGCTGCGCTGACTGTTGGGCGGGGTAGGCCTGACCCATTTTCAATCGAGGTTGGACACTCTTAGTTTAATCCAGTCTCCAGAAGGTGGGATTGGATAAGATTCACCAAGGTCCAACTTTGTTTCGTGCCCATCATTAAACATTAATTATATTTAATATATTTAACTTTTTTTTTTTGGGTGATAACCAAGGTGTCCCGGTCAGCTTGCGGCGTCTCAACTAACTCTTGCTATCCATGTAGATACAAAAAATCAACGGTTATGGAAATAGGGTCTGATCCTGTGAAGTTGAGACCACTGACAGTCAACTAGACTTGCATACATGAAAAGACAAGCGTGAAGCTTACGAAAAACACCAGGGTGGTGTTTTCCGTAGGCACTCTGACGCTTAAGTCCACAAGGTTGAAAGAGAATATTTAATGAGAATTAAGGAAAGAAAAATTATCAGGAGTCTTGTCGGAGGCCTAGGCCACGGCGAAGGTGTAGAATTCTTGGGAGCTAGAATTTAGGAGCAAAGAGAGGTGATTTTGAGTAGTCCTAGTTTATTATGTGATTGGCATTTATAATGAGAGAGTGCATACCTCTGTTTTAAATGAATCCTAAAGGGTTGGAATCTATAAGAACTGAGTAGTATTTTGGGAGATAATCTCTATCAGAGAAATATGATTTCTTACCTTATCAGATTAAGTTTAATAGTTTGAGGAAGATTCGAAATCTCAGCAGAGATGAAATAGAATATGATTTTCTTATTTATGGACTATTGTAGGTTAGGGTTGGAACCTAATTCACTTAACTTATAGATAGTCAACTCTTAGAGTGGTAGTTCACAATGTGATTTTAAGCGTGAGGCTTAATCAGAGATTGGCTAAGGCCTTAAACTGTGTCATTTTATTTCGTTATTAGTATCTTGTTAGACACAAGAACGATTTTTGGCCAAATCAATTCATTAACACTGTACAAACTCACTATTCTAAGGCCTAAACCATAAATCTGTGTAGGTAACTCCCGTATGTATATACACCTTGAATAGTTGGAATTTTATTTAAATCCTAACCTTGTAAAATGTTTTCATCTATGATTGGTTTGGTCTCATGGATATTTGCCGTTATATAATATAACATACTCAATGGAGAAACGATAAACAACCATTAACGTGGACATCACCCCAGGCACGTTCCTCGAAACTATGGAAGATTGAGGTTGGGCAATACATCAATGCTAATTTGGGAACTGACTCAAACATGATGATAACATTTAGAAAGCATTAATGGAGAGTATACCCCACTTCCAACTCTCATAATGTTAAAAACATTTGGTGAAGCCTTATATACTAGATAGATTAATGAATAGAATAGCTGGCGGTTGAGTCAAATTCAAAGTCGTGGGTGGAATCATTATTATTACAAGTTCTAATGGCATGAAATGAATGTTGTTGGTGAAGTGGAGGGCAAAGCTGTTTGTGTTGTTCATTCCTCTATAAAAACATCCATTAAAGAGTTATCCACCCAGTTGCTAAAATGACAGCACCAACCATGTCCATGAGTGCTACCAAAATAATTGCCATTTCCCCCCCTTTGTTATTTTGTAACATCAACTTCTACAACTTTCGTATGGATGCCTCTGTATGATATTCCTGCTTTACCTTCATTTTTTGCAACTGCGGTATGGGCCGGGCCTTGGGTGCCAATGAGCCCAAGTTTGGTGGACGCTTTAATTACGTTGCTGGTTGCCCAACTTGACGTTTTGAGCTTATTCATATAAAAATCCATCTCATTCTTGAAAAATAATAGTTTGGTTCGGAAAATACGCCATCTTGAGCTTGCTTTGTTCCTTCCCTCAACCTCTGCATATTTATATATTGTTTTTTTTGGGTGATCATTAAGTATGAAACTGGAAAAGGTGAAGAAAAACATAAAAGTGACAGGATGGTAGGTTTGTATAGGCAGTGTAGACTGTAAACTATGAATGCAGAGAGAAAATTTCGATGAGGGGAAAATGACTTTTAACGAAAATGCTGCGACAGAAGTTAAAAACTTGTTTCTGGTGTTTTTGTTGTGAGAATGGAGAGCAGAGAAATGCAGAGGAAGAAAAAGATACGTATATATAAACTAGCACAGTAAGCGTACACAAGAGACCTTTTGTTTGAAACATATCTTTCTACCTCGCAGGTCGAGCTATGAAATGAATGTGAAAGAGAGTACAGGCTGAAATTGTAATCCTCTTGGGTAACCCTTACAGAAAATCTCTTTAGACTGAAGATATATATATATAAATTTGATCTCTATCGTGGCTGGCAACAGAGGCAAAAAACAAATATGTATACAAAAATGGATCAAGTGTAATTCTGATTTCTCTGTGTAAAGGTACAAATTAAGAGTGGAAAGAGAGAGGTATTGAGAGTTTCTTCAGAGTATCCAGACTGCAAGAGTGATAAAGTTATCGGAAACGACGGAAAGTGTATCTATAATGGCCATATCTTTATTCTAAAAAAGATATGA